CAAGAATGCTGTAAATGAGTCAAGCATTTTAACATCTGAAGCCTTATCCTGTATTAAAAATTAGTGCTAGGAAAAAAAGTAACATTTGGGGATAAAATAAAAAAATAAAAAAAAGATAAATTAAAAAAGGCACATAAAACCTGAATGTTTTTCTTTGTTTTAAATTATAGTAATATAACTCAAGCAAATAAATTAACATTGTGATATCATAAAATTATTAAAATGTTTGGCCTTGGAAAGCAAGCAGGAAACATGGCCTAAAACGTGCAGTTTATCCAGAAAGTGTAGAAGTTAGAGAGACATAAAAGCACTACATCAGTGTTACCAATACATTTTGTAAATCTAATTATAGGTGCATCATCACAGAACAAAAATACAATACCTACACCCTACCTATTAAACCTTTTTACAGCCCTGATAACCATTAGCCTTGGAAATGCAAATAGGAAAGAGAAAGTGCTACAGCTGCAGAACTGCCTGCAAGAATAAGCAGCTCTACAGGACTTAAAAAGAAAAAAAGAACAGGAAAAGAAATGGATTTGTAAATAAATTCACAGCATTTAATTACAGATCTGAAGTAGAGCCTACTAAGTGTGCAGCAACCTTTCAAGGCACATGAAGTTTGCTTGGTGGGAAAGCGCAACTGGATTTTTAATAAATAGCATAGCCTGGATTTCAAAGAACATTGGATTCAACCTTCTGCTTCTAGGCGTAAGTACAGATTTGGTGTTATTTTAGATAATGTCTTTGGACTTAAGACTTCAGAAACAGAACCTTGTTTGAGGCATAACAATACAAATGGCTGCTTTAACTTCAAAGCAATGTTTAAAAGGTTTCAATAATAGAAACATTCAGCTAAAGCAAAAAAAGGATAAAACTCCAATGACAGAAATATCACCACAAATCCTCCCTGCTTTGTGCAGTGTCATTTCCAATGCACTTCAGACTGTACAGAGAAAGAATGCCAGTGCATCTATTATGGGATCACATGAACATGCATATTTATCATGAAAGTACAAAATCTCTTCTGAATTTCTATTGTAACAATGACAGAAAATACACAGAATAAAGAGTACTAAATTGCTATTCTTTATCCTTCATTTATAGTGCAATATGATTTTAGAAAGAAATTTTAAATATGACATTTCATTTTCAGTTGTGGTGCAGTTTTATCCAGTTTTAACATTATTTAACACTAAGAAATGGGGGAAATAATCTCTAATATTTCAATAAGTTTTAATAGAAGACTACAAGTACATCCTTGACAAGCCAATCAGGCAAAACCAAGACCACAGAAAATAAAAAGTAAAGCTGAATAACCTCTGACACATGCTTACTTATTCTTTCCCAAAAGGAATGCCTAGCTCCTCAGTTACACATCCCACTCAGATGTCTGTTACAGTTATTTTCCAAAGCAGAACTTATGCCTTTATGTCTCTTCACTATGGCATATGACACCTAATAGAGATAAAATGGATTTATTTGCTTCATGCCTATGAACTTTGTTTAAATAAGGTTCCCCAATACAATAGTGATTGTCCTCCTAAAGGGAAAATGGAAACACTTGTTTTGTAATCCCTACTCAAATAAAAACACCAGAACAACTGGCTTAAATGCAGCCCATTCAGTAAAACCCCTTGGCTTTGGGAATCTGTATGCCATGTCTTCCTGTAGTGACAAAGATCTCCCTGCTTTCATCACTTAAATGAGGTAGAAAACCTTCCAAGTCCAGGAGCAATGGTCTGGCATGAAGCTGCTGTGATGAAGAGTCAGGCTGTTACTGTGCCATGATGATGACACAACTGCTATAGACAATGCTTTCCAAAACAATTAGTTTCCTGCACTGAGTTTAATACATCCCACTACTTACCCAGCACTACACTGGGCTGTCTTTAACACAAACCCTTGCACATGATTATGTTTTATAGCTCAGTAATTAACATCCATAAGCTTTACTATGAAGTAACTCTTAAGCAGTGGCGGGATATCTTCAGATAGGTAGAAAATGCCACAATGCATTAATTTCTGCCATTACAGGTAGCCTTTATAAAATGATTTAAAAAATGATAAAAGAGAATATTTGAAAAAATACAGTAATATTATGCAATGATAGTGGCTTACCTTGGTCTCTGGGTGTAATGTGCACATGAGTAAGGAAGGATAGTATGGGAAGCAACCCTAATTGACAACATGATGCTTCCCTAAAGTCAATGGTGCTACACTGATCTACTACCTGAAGTTCTTCCACAGCCTGTTTTAAGCAGTGCTAGTATCTTTTGGGTCATGAACACATCCAGCATTTCCAAAAGACAGGGACTTTGGAAATTGTCTGGACTACAGAGGGTGCTTTAACGAATAAGATGCTTTATAAGAGAAGAAATATACACCTCTCTCCAGTTCCTGTGTTTTATTACATTTGCTGCTCAAGATCTCCTTAGACACTCATCCATACTTACCATTCTAGTTTTCTGACTATGGGAAGTTAATTTAAAAATGCAAAAAATTATTTTTTCTACTATGTACACCCAAACTTAAAATTCTAAAGTCTATCTGCATTTTCGTCAGTCTTGTATGAAGACCCCAGGCAAGGATTCTTAGTCTAGATGATGCTGTTCATTACACCTTCAAATCCTGATTAATTACTTCTTCCTTTGCAGCCTATCAGCTCAATCCTTACACAGATGCATTAACTGCATATGAAGCAGAAAGATTCACTTTGTGTTCATAGAGAAGATGTAAACTGCGCAACACCAGTAAGATGCAACTGAGCTGACAAAAAGGATGCTATGGTCAGAAAAGTAACCCCTCTTAAAAAGGGTCATTAATACCTACTGTATTCTTCCACCTCCTGCCTCTTCGATCTCCCCTCTCTCTGTTGAATGATCCTTAACTTGAATTCTTTGCTAGGACTTAGCTACCTACCAGCATGCTGTTCCATATAAGCATTAATTGCAGAATCATAGAATGATTCAGGTTGGAAGAAACTCTGAAGAACATCCAAGTTCCATGGGCAGGGACACCTTCCACTAGACCAGGTTGCTCAGAGTCCCACCAACCTGGCCTTGAACACTGCCAAGGGTGGGGTAATCACAGCTTTTCTTGACAACCTCTTCCAGTGTCTCACCACCCTCATCATATTCCTAATATCTAATCTAAACCTACTATCAATTTGAAGCCATTCCCACTGGTCCTGTCACTATATACTCTTGTAAAAAGTCTCCATCTTTCTTTTATGCTCCCTTCAGGTACTGAAAGGTTGCAATTAGGTCTCTCTGAAGCCTTCTATTTTCCAGGCTGAACCATCCCAATTCTCTCAGTGTTTCCTCATCTCCTGATCCCTTCACCCCACTAATCATCTCAGTGTCCTCCTCTGGACTTACTCCAAGAGGTCCATGTCCTTCCTGTGCTGGGGACCCCAGCTCTGGATGCAGCACTGCAGGTGGGGTCTCACAGAGAGGAGCAAAGGGGCAGAATCCCCTCCCTCACTCTTCTGGCCACTCTGCTTTGGAGGCAGCCCAGGACACCTTTGTCTCTCTGGGCTGTCAGTGCACATGGCTGGGTCATGTCCAGCCTCTCATCCAGCAGCACCCTCTGGTCCTTCTCCCCAAGGCTGCTCTTGATCTGTGCATCCCCCAGCCTGTGTTGGTGTTGGGGCTTGCCCACGCCCATGCCAAACAGAGCAGATAATTTTGCAGTTTCTCCTTTTACAGACTCACAGAATCACAGAAGTTGAGTTGGAAGGGACCCACAAAGATCAGAGAGTCCAACTCCCAGTCCTGCACAGCATCATCCCCAAGAGTCACGCCATGTGCCCAAGACTGCTGTCCAAATACTTCTTGGATTCATTTATTCACAGATCATGAATTTTCAGTCTGTGGTGAACAATATTAACCCAAAGCTTTTTATCCTATTTTCACTTCCCGAGCTGTAATTTAGATTCCTGAGCATTTTTCTTGAGGTCCTCCTAGAGATGAACAGCCATCACACACTTCTCCATCCTAAAAAATGGGGTAGAATATGGAAATAAAACCCCACAGGGTCCAGAGAGAGAATATAACCCTGCTCTACACACTCCTCCAGCCCTCCCCTCACAGTTTGAAACCTTTTTTTCTAACCATTTGATCCCAAGTCCATCAGGAAAGATTTTAGGCAAATTTCATTCCTATACATGAACCAGCAGCAGACTAAGTCAACTACTTCAGAAGGGTCAAACACTCCTCTTGCAAGTGCAGCCTGCTGCAAAGGTAAGCTTGCCTGTCAAGGCAATCTCTGAATTTGCAGAAGCCTGCTGTCCAAGATGCTAGGGTGAAGAACTGTGCTTATCACAAAAGCGTAAACAAGTAGGCAGGTAAAGTGTTAAATACCAAAGAATCAGGTAAAGGCAGAACTTTGAGCCCTAAGAAAAGCGAGTTTACAATTATGCTGCTCACTGGAAATAAATTAACACAAGCAGGAATTTATCCAATAACTCATTAATGAGGTCACTCCACCAGTGTAGCAGAAGTAGTTGACTGTAATTCAATGCTTCAGTGGGTGAGGAAAGAGACAGATTTCTCCATCTGCAGCTTTCCTCTAAAAAGGTAAAGTCATATCCTACAAATAGCATACAGAGAAATTCTCTCTAGAAAGTATGTGGATACCCACCAGGTGGGAATGATGGTAAGTTAATGTTTATTTCTCTGTATCTCACCATACAAAAGAAGTCACAGATTTTTCAGGAAGTTTTATCCTAGTTTCTAGATGCTGTAATCTCTACCACCATATGATCTATTTCATCACCTGATACTATGAAAACTCACCCAGGATTCTGGCAGTACTGCACTTCCTGTGTTTATTTTAGTACAGTACCACAAAGCACAACTTCTGAGCTTCTCAGGTGTTTACAACTGAAGCCTCAAAAGAAGCAATGAAGCCAGAATCACTTCATGACCAACTGAAGCACTAATGGCTTGGATTTTACAATGCTCTATCACAGAAAAACTCAAAGGGATTTAATTTACCTTGACCTTGTAGTACTCCTTGACTTCAGGCTGAATGGAATCAAAATCACCACTGATGTAATCAGGCAAGAAGCTGAAAGAAAAGCAATGAGCAGTGAAACGAAAAATTAATCCATCTTACTATATTTAATATTTATTTTCTCAAGAGTACTTTGAGGTACAAGCATTAATCTTCTTAAAGGAATATGAGTTCTTTAAAAGCATGTTAAAACAAGTTGATGTGAGGTGATACCAAAAAAGGTAACAAACAAAATGTAAAACTGATAACTCTGTTGTCCCTTTGCTGAGGGAGATGCACATTGCTTAGATGCTTATATATATCTCCAGTATTTGTCTGGTCCTAGAAAGACAACTTTCAAATATCTTTCAAATGTATCATTCATTCAGCAAAGTGTTTGAAATAGCATATCTGAGTGCTGTATATCAAGCCTCAGAGGATATCATTTGTCAGAAGATGATGATGCTTCTTGGACATCTGGTATGCCATAAATGTTTCAAGGATTTGTATTTTAGTTGTTAGTGATGTCATCTTGTTTCTACTCTTCTCTATTATTAACAATATTCCCAAAATACGGAAGCCAAATGCCCAGTGATTTTTAACTCACATGAACTTAATTTCAGCTCCTGACTGTCATCTGTACAGTAATATTGCTGCAAAGCACATAGAAATAATTTTGTGATATTTATCTTATCTTGCCACATATAGCTTTTTATTTGCAGAATTCTTAAAAACATTTATTATATAAATTTGTGTCAAATTCCTAAGGAAACTTCCCCTGTGCTATAGAAAGAACATTGTAAGAATATCTTTTGAATGAATATCAATGCCCCCCAAAACACTCAACACAGCTTTCCATTTTGCACAACTTCTTGAGTTTTAAGAAGCAGCTGACAGGTGAGAGAGTGTTTCCACTGTTTCAACAGATAAAGCTGCACTGAGTTTTGACAGTAAAGCTGTGACTTTAGTTAACTCCATCCACAGCTACCATACTTTACAAGGGGGATGACAGTTCATCAGCAAATTAGTTTCCAGCTTAAATTGTGTTACAAGGAATTGAGCAGAGTATATTGGGACATATTTTTTGTGCCACATGATTTCAGAAGAATGCTGCAGGGTCTAGAAACTCCTCTTATCAGTAAAACTTATAAAAATCTCATGTTCTGTGTCTGTGCAGAGATTTCAAAAGAGACACTTGGTCACTGGCAACCATTTTCTTTGAAAACTGAAAGCTGCGCCAATAGAAGCTGGTAAGTACAAGTGCTGCGAGTTATGTGCAAGTCATGTGCAAGTATGGCATTTCAAATTCCCTGCTCTCCACCATTACTAAGGTTGTTATAAAACTATATGTTCTAAAAATAATCCTTCCAGAAGTGATGGTCCCACACACTGCAGTGAGAAGGGCAGTCCCTGCTGCACCGGGTTTGACTGAGGACACAAGAATCAAGTAGGAGAAACACAAATGCTTCAGTGTTCTGTTTCATATGTTTCCATCAGTATGGTTCACAACTAAACAGAAAATTAGGTTTGCTCCTTCATTGTAAAGACTAACCTTTCCAAAGTACAAAAAATACCACATTTTCAAAAGTTAAAATTTAAATAGTTGGTTTTCACATTTCCATGAGTTCCCTAATGAAATATTTACTGAATACAACAAGCCTAAAAACTTGCAGGTATTCTCTTTCAATATGTTATTTCATAATTATTTTTTCCTGATTGAAACAGAGCCACAAAAAGTAATCTCACTCTAGGCATTTCAGTGGAGGCCCTGAATGCAAGCCCTGGAGGTGTTCCAGGAGGCTGGGCAGGAAGAATAGCAGCCAGTTGTGATGGAATGCTAGCTTGGTATGACATAAGACATCCACTGTGATGAAAAAGCTGGTTATCTTACTATAATGCCATATATAAATCCAAAAGTGGTTTTCTTTTTATATTTTTTGCCCTCTCTACAGCAGCTACAAATCACAGTGCTTTTAAATAATCAACTATTTCTCCTTAATGCTTCAAGAGATATAACTGGGAGACGAATTAGCCAAAAAAAAAAGAAAAAAGTGTCTTCTAAGAATCAAGTGCTCATTCAAAGCTTTTGTTCTCAACCAAAGTGAAACAATTTCCAATCAAAAACGAGTTTGAATTTTTTCAAGCAGAAGGAACAGGCATTTCAGTGGCATCTTCCATGGGCTCTGCTGGTGCTCCTGGCTGTGCTTCCTGAACATGTCTCCTCTGCCAGGAAGCTCTATGTCCATTATTAACATATCCTCTCTAAATCACTCACTTGGAGCAACCACAAAACCAGAAGTGAATAAAGGGAATAAGGAATTGTGACTGGAAACTTCAAAATTTCAAGATGTCTAAGCCTCCCATTAATGATCATGAAAAGAAGAATGCCTTCTTCTTTTCTCCTTCCCTTTTAGAAACACCAGAAGCAAAGAAAGCCCAGAAAGCCAGGCCTGATGAATTAAAAAAAAAAATTAGTAAAACTCAACTCCACTGTCTGCTTTAACAGACATGAAAAAATATGTCTGCTTTATCTTCAGAGGGAGGATGGCTGCTCTTTGTAGCTCACTGACTATGCAAACCAGCAAAAGTGTGGAAGAGGTTTTACAGCGACTTCTGTGAGCCAGAGACGTTTGATAAGAAGATTCATGTTTACCCCTGAAAGAACTCTCTACCAAAGTCGTTGACAAAGAAACCAAGAAAGAAAGAAGGATAAATAAGAGAAACCTGCAACTGCCTACTCCAATAAGCATTTTGTTTGTCTCTCGTGACCAATTACTAAAGTGCAAACTTATGAGTTTTGTAAGAATGTATAAAAAGCATGCATGCTGTAATAAAAACAGGTTTAAAGCCTTCTGAAAATGGAGTGTGTTGCTTTGTATTGTCTCTGTCTAAACTACCACACAAAAGTAAACCAGCATTCAGTATAGAGTCAAAGGCTGCATTTGACATAGTCCTTTTTGAGTTCTGTGGAACAAATGGCTTGATCCAGGTGTGCAGACTTGAATCTCTTTCCAACTAACACAAGTGAACAAAGCTCATTGTGTGAGGAATTCTTCTTGACTGACTAACCTCAGAGATTAGCACTGATATAGAAATAGGGGAAGTAGTTGAGAAAGAGTTATATGGAAAAAAACCTTCATACTAAAGTAACTCAGGAATATTTTGTTTCACTGGTTTGCTTTCATATAGTTTTGTACTTACTCCTGAGTACAGACTGGTGCAGGAGAACAGGCTTGGGAGAATCACACATCAAGCTTACTTCTATTTGAGTGGAAGAAATGATGTCAGGAGAAAAGTAACAAGAAAAGCCTCTCCATAAAAGGTAAAACAGCTGCCCTTATTTAAAGTACAGATTAGAACCAGGTATTGTATTAGTCTAACCCATGATTTCCTGCCCTCTGAACTAAAATTAATGAATAATTCTTATTCTGATGCATAACTGTATTGAAGATGACATATTTCAGTAACATATCTGACATACATCCTTTAGTGAAGGAATTTAGCTTTTTGCCCAAGACGGCAAAATATGTCTTTAATTCCTTGTGCAATTTAAAATTTTAATTTCTAAATATCCCTGATGATGCAGTCTACTGCATTTCAGAACCACATTTTATCAGTCTCATTAGCTATTAATTATCACTATGCATATAAGGTCATGACCAGCTCAGCTGGCTTGATTCTCTGCTACTTTATATTGACATTTATCAGGAGTGAGCCAAATCCTTAATCCTAATGGGACTGAAAGTACAAAATTCATGTGAGATCAACCTAGTCTATGAAGTCTTTTCTAGAGCTGTCAAGAAGCATAACACCAGGCACTCGGCAACAAAAAAAAATCTTCAGAGGTTTGGGCCAACTGGAGTTTTTCTTACTTTTTTCAATGTCTCTTGGTTTTTCTGTGTGTTGAAGGATTTATTTTGTTTGGATTTCGGTGTGTGCTTTCTGTTTTCTTTGGACTTGCCCTTTTTTTTTTTTTTTCCTCCTACTGCATCCATCTCAGTATGGAGTCACGAGGGCCAGGATTACTTTCAGATAAGAATCCAAAGGCACTTCCATACCAGACTGCTTATCTTTTATCTAACTTCTTTTACATAAACCCCCATAGTTTCCACATGAAATCTTTAAAAGTTTAGCTAGCTAAGGAAGGAAAAACAACACTATTTCTCAGCAGTTTGGGATGGATGCCAGCTAGATGATTTATACAAATTGGATAAAGGCTGAATGTTGACCAAACAGTTTTATGAACTCCCAGGACCCTGGGCTGGAACACCGGGGAAAAAAGAGATTCCAGCAAGTTTGACATAGTTTCCATTTACCCCAATACATTTTTACTTACCAGTACCATGAAGTGGCAATTGATTCTTTCCATTGATTCTTTTCATTTACCCCAATAAATTTTTAGTTACCAGTACCATGAAGTGGCAATTGATTCTTATCATAGATAGATTACAAAATGAATAAAAGCTATTATACTCTGAGGCTCTGCAAACAAGTAGTTTTCCTTCAAGTAGTACATCTAATAGACACAGCAATATTGTTTTTAAATATTCAGCTCTAATGAACATGAACATTTAAGATATTTAACACTAGTGCTAAATTTAAAACATCAGAATATTTGCTTCTTTACTCACTCACTTTAAGAATTCAGTGTAAAGTGTTAAATATGCGTTTTCACACAGTTATGAAAAAGAAAAAGAAAACCCACAAAAACCCACACAAAACCATCATGCTGTAGCAGTTTACGCTAAAAAAAAACCATGCTGCCTTTTTAAATAAAATGCTTGGGCATAACTGCTCAGCTCTATCATTAATTCAAAGTTACAGTTTCCTAGTACTATTGACTTTGCTTGTGATGCAGCTCCTTTAGCACATAATTGCATGCTATTAACCTTTTTTAAACAAATGTTAACATCAGAGACATGAGCATTTAAAGGCAGTATCTGCACACCCTTTGATTCCTTCAGCTACAGCACAGAAAATAATCCCATGCAGACAAAACATGAGTCCCCCAGCTGTATCATCTGAGGGCACAGAGTGGGTTCCCTATATTTTTGTTTCACTACTAAAAATGAATT